TTAAATATTTTCTTACTTTATTATAGCAAAGTAATAATCAACAATCTTGCAAATATCCATGATGTCATTCCCACCCAGTTTTTGGTTTTGAACATAGACCATCATTTCTTTTTATGGGTCTACTGGGCTCTGCTTGCTATGGACAATCAGAAATTTCCAAACTGGAAATAAACCAAAAGTTAGGGAGCATAGCTGACTTTCAAGCTTCTTTTTGAAGGTCAGGCATGCATAATACCAACCTGAATTTTAGGATTATGGGTTCCTCTTGTTGCCCACAATAACCTTTGACCAACTATGCACAAGCACTGTCTCATATAATATCTGCTTGATAATTCTGATGACCTGGTAGAGCATCCCTCAAAGTAGCCAGTTTCATGTTCAATGTACTTTGGTTACTAGATATCAGTATTTACAGGATATTGTACCATCCCAGTCATAAAAAATTTGTTGAAATGCTTCAGGAAAACACAACATAAACTTAGTCATTTCATGAATACACATATTGCTTCCCTCCCCTTCCTGCAATGTTGGTTTCACGTGTTTGCTTGGGCATAAATGTCTCCAATATGTTGGTCTGCTATAGCAGTTTGGTTTTTTGCTGTTTTTGTTTTGTTTTGTTTGTTTGTTTTTCCTTTTTACATTAAGTGTTCTCTGTAAAATGAAAATTTCAAATAAAAATTAATAAAATACAAAAAAAATAAATAAACATCTTCAAAATCAACATTGAAAGGGAAGGGAAGGAAGAATTCACAAGCGTTTCAACAAATTATTAACCTTTTTACTGATACGGTCGCCATATTGAATTACTTGGATTTAAGGAGTTTTATGGGATGCCCATGGGGCATGAGCACGATCCAATATACTCGCATCGGTAATTACGCGTGCTTTTTGGGCCAAATTATTGTTCTTTATAGATAAGTTTTCCTAGAAAAAGATTGTAAAGGGAACAAGAGATCGTTGTGCCGTGTTTGGATGTAATAATGATCATCTTTTTGCCGAGAAATATACATTGAAGTTCTGTTTTCTCACAGAAAGCGTGCGTAAAAACTGGGTGAGTGCCCCCTGGGCATCCCATAATACTCCTGAAATGTAATAAATTCAACATGGCCATTGATCAAGGTCTATTATGACTTGAATTTAGATGCTGTACTGCTCCATTCATCTTGTCCTGCTATTCCTTCCTCTGCTGTATCTTTCTTGCTTCTTGTATGGGTGAGTTCTTGTTCTTTCACTCTGTACAAGTAGAGGATGTTTTCCTTGTGGTGTGGCTTGTTGATTTTCATGGCCGCTCTCCATTAATTTGAGCTTGTTCTCAATTGCTCTAATCTTGGATTCACAGCTAAAGGCAGACAAAACAAAGGAAAAAATTATTATCAAATGAATAAGGAGAGTTTCAACAAATTCCTAACATTTTTGTTTTGCTTGAAAAAACAAGCTGTATGCAACCTGGACAATAATTATTATTCACTGCATAATAAGCACTTGTGGAATTCACGTGCTCCTCTTCACTCACTGCAGTTTTGTCACAGTTTGCCACAACATTACACTCAGATTAATTGCTACCTAGTTCAAAGCTGTCAAGAGAGTTTCAACGTTAGTCCTGCTAATAGCAAGACTAAAGATGGTTGTTATTTGACCGCGGCAGTATTAGCTCAGTCGGTTGAGCGTTTGACTGGAGAGCAGAAGGTTGAGGGTTCGATTCCCAGGGTTGGACCAATACTCAGAGTCTTAAAATAACTGAGAAATGAAGGTACTTCCTTTGCACTGCAAGCGGCTAGGCTCAGATGACCACATAAAATGGCAGACTGTCTCTAGTTGGAGACATAAAAATAGCGTCCCCAATTAGGACTTTCATACTAAATACACTGGCACTCAAATAAAAATTTTATTGTTGTTTTTTTTTTTATTTCTTTCTCAACAAAAAATCTGCCCTTTTAACTTGTGGTCATTTACAACTTGGCTGTAAGGCAGCGAGCTCAGTGTGTGGGTAACATGGTAGTCAGTAGAACCCTTGACTGTAGAGCAAATGGTCATAGCTTCGATTATTGGAATCAGACCAATACTCACGGTCAGAAAAAAACGAGCCCCGTAAAATAGCTAGACCTTCGTGTGGCTCAGATGATCAACCATGTAAAATGGCCATTCTGTCTCCAGTAGGACACATAGTGTCCCCAATTAGTACTTTAGTGCTAAATAAATAGCTAAACACTTTTAAAAATAAAGTGCTTTTTTTGAAAATTTGATAAGTAGAAGATTAACAATGAGCAAAAGAAAAGTTGAAATGAATACAAGTTGTCTCAGCTCGCTGTCTCACCTTTTAAGTGAGTTTTTTGAGGATGCTGTAGATGATGGCACGTTCTTTTCTTCTTGTTCTTTTAAGCCCTAGTTGGAATTGGAAACAGTCGGTGAGAGTAATCTGTACATTCTGACAAGTAATCAGGGGAGAGGAGGGACATTTTCTTCTACTGTCAAGCAACAATCTGCAGCCCACAGTTTAATCCTATAGCACTAAAAATGACCTACACCGCAGTGTTCTCACCAGGCCACATCCTTGTTGGATTGCCACAAGAAAAATTGGAGTGACGCATTAATGTGCCCACTTGGGTGTACAAAGATGCTACGAGCCAAAGGGACTTTCAGAAGTTAGTTGGCAGTTTTTTAATGGTCTAGCAAATAATCAGACACTTTTTTTTTTTTTGCTCTTTCTAATTAATGATGGTTTCTCAAAGTATTCAAACCATTCAATCAGGTAGGTACATTTCCGTGATTTTGTTACAAATAGTTATGGTGAGTCCGGGGACTCATCTTGCAAAAAAATGATGGGTCCTATTCCCGAACCATTGAGTCCCAGTTAAAACAACAATGAGTTTACAAACAGTTTACTGGAATAAAAAACTCTTTCTATTGTGAACACAACAAAGACCAAAAGAAATGTACCTTGTTAAACAACAGCTGTAAGAACAAACACAGAAATCACACAAACAGGATAATTATTCTATGCAAACATCTTCAGATCAATTGATCGATCTTTACGTCCCACGGAACGCATACCATGAATTATTTTGAGTCTTTGGTCCTTTTTATACGTCAGGGACACAGGACGCAGAGGTAACAAAATTACTCTACATTTTTACTTTGTGTAACAGACCATTTTTAGATTGTGGGCTCAAGTTCTTTGTACCGCATGGTTTGCCATGCCACACAGCGAAAGTTAGATTCTTAAGCCCTAAAACACCAAGGCTTGGAGATAGTTTAGAAGATTATTGAAACAGTGGTGAAGATGACGAGAAAGAGGACAACCTAGCAAGCAAATATCAAGAAGCTGTTTCATTGAAGAAAATTGTGTTTTCCAGAGTGCTTGGCTTTCGAAATACTCGTGGCTTGCCTACAAAAATTTCATACTGACAAAAAAATCATGACCTACAAGATCCATCTTGAGGCAAATTTTCCAAAAACCACTTTAAGTAGAAATGCTGCTAGAATTTGAACCTGCCTTGATGAAATGGAAGGCAGAGAAATTACGAAGGATTTTTTCCATTCCAGTTGTGGAACACAAGTAACTTTGCCCTCCTTAAGCTCCCACAGGGCCCCTATTTTTCAGCAGAGGGGGCCCTGGGACTCCTTAAGACAAAATCCTGGTGAGAACACTAACACTGCAAAAAATAATATCCTTAAATGATGAAAGTTTAGTTGATTGGTGACAGACATCTTTCAAATTTTGAAAGATGTCTGTCACCAATCAACTAAACTTTCTTTTCCACCTACCAGACCATATGTGATGCCCTTTTAGAGAGAAGGGGATGTGGGCACTATATATAGAAGTCCCTGTTTGAATTTTTAAAACCCTTCCTTTCCTTGACTGAGGGGGCAGTGTCCATGACAGCATTAAATGTGATAATAATAATTTATTGTATTTGCCATTGTCATTCATCACAAGCACTCAAAAGTTTAAAATACTAAACTTACCCCTAAAACTATTGTTATTTCATAGTTACCAGCAGTCAAACTGTTATCCAGATCAATTACGGTACAATTCCGATAATAAGCCCTGGGGCTTATTTTTCAAAGGCCCTTTTTGAGGGGCTTATATTTGGAGGGGATTTTATACAGAGGGAAATTTGCGTTTCAAAATCGATTGGGCTAGCCTTTATTCTTGGAAGGAAATTTACCATTTCTCTTTGTTTTACTTTGTATTTGAGGGCAATTCCAAGTACAAGCCCCCGGGGCTTATATTTGGAGGTGCTTATACATGGAGGGGCTTATTTTAGGAATTTTACAGTAATTAACAGTGAACACTACTTGATATACTATGCATTAGACTTAAAATTATTGCTTTAATCTACTTACTGTTAATCCAGTTTTCTTCTTTGCCCAGTCTACAACCAGAGGCTTAGACAAGGCCAATTTACCATTCAGCCCACGCAGTGCATTTTCTGCCTGCTGTTGAGAGAGAAATATCATTGTGAGGATACTATAAACTGGTAATCATTTTTCTTTCTCAGGGTATACTGTACAATGCAGCTATACAGGATGCATTTTTTTTTAAATACACACAAAAAAAGAACTTTACATCAATAATATCTTGGGTGTGCTAAAGCAGTGTTTGCCGCATAAAGTCTACAGGATGCACTTATACATGTGTGTCACTCAGTGTTAACTAAATATGTCATGAATAGAGCGGTTTTCACTTGACTGTCGAAAGGGATTGGTTTTGGTTTTGGTTTTGGTTTTACTACGCCCTTTGGTTGGCTAGTGTATTTACTTTGGTTTTGGTTTTACGACAGTCAAGTGAAAACCGCATCACTTGACTGTCGAAAGGAATTGGTTTTGGTTTTGGTTTTGGTTTTACTACGCCCTTTGGTTGGCTAGTGTATTTACTTTGGTTTTGGTTTTACGACAGTCAAGTGAAAACCGCTCTAAAAACCAATCAACACAGTAAATTTTGCACATTACATTCTGGTACAGTGGAACCCAGTTAATATGGTCAGCAATGGGTCCAAAAAATTTGGCAGTATTAATGGGGTGACCTTATTATCGGGGCAGGCTCAAATTTCATGACTTGAGGGTGGTAATGACAAATACACTGTACATCGCATTTGCATTTCTTGAACAACTCTTCTCATTAATAAACAACCAGAATGTAGATATCGTATACAGTAACTACTGAAAAAACTACGGCTCTACTTAAAATTTTCCTTCAGTACATAAAACACTTTTAAAATTCAGCTATAAAATCGCAACAAGTCCACTTCATTTGTACTGTAAAAAAAGTCTAAAAACAGTAAAAGCACAGGCTCAGTGTGCTAGGTCAATAAAATTGACATGTCACAGGTAATTTAATTTTCTAAATTTCGAACAAGTGGCCATATAAATGGGGTGAAATTATAAGAGATTCTACCATTTGGGATTTTAAAATAATGTTATGGCTGTTGGCTGTATTAACCCTTTAAGCCCTAAGAGTGATCAGTGTCAAATTTCTCCAAGTAAGATCACTGCTTTATAAAACACAGTGGTCAAGAGAATTAAGGACATGATGACACAAGATGAATCTAATTGATACTTCAACAAACTCTCCCCACTACTTCTATTGAAAACGTATAGTGATAACAAATGAGAATTTGAATTTTGATGTAAGGGTTTAAAGGGTTAACTGCTGCGTGACCGCATTAACGGGGTTTTTTTGTAAGATAATGTATGGTCATTCAGCTGGACCGGAAAAAAGTGACCATAAATTGACCAGATTACCGAGGCCCCCGTAAGGTGGGGTTTCACAGTACATATAATTTTAAATGATCGTCGCAAGGAAATAGTTGTCACCATGTAGAGCGGTAGTGTAGAATATAACTGAGTTTGTGTGTGTGCTGCCCAGTTTAAACGATTTATAATCAACCAATATTAAAAGATTATTAGACCTTATGATACTCCCAAGTTTGGTTTACCGTGAACCAACTAGTTTACCCATGTACAGGGTTAAGTCAAGCTTTGTGTAATCTGTTGCCTTTTCATGTCTCATCTTTTGCTATTCATTACAAGAAAATATGCAAATTATCATTTGCGTGGAATGCCGACCAATAGTGCGAAGATACATTCATTAGTATGAAAATATGAACGTTTGTGCATGAATCAGATTCAATAACCATTTTTGAATTTTATGAATGCCCAAAAATGTTATTGAATATTGATTAAAATGCAAAACTCATAATTGAATCTAATTTATGCACACATGTTCGTATTTTCATGCTAATGAATGGATCTTTGCACCATTATTCACCTTTCATGCAAATGGTTGCGTATTTTCTTGTAATGAACAGCAAAAGGTGTAAGTTCTCTTCCTTTAGAACTTCCCATGAAATTTCAAACAGAGAACTATTCTCAAGTCTATTTGTACTATCTCACCTCAAGTGTCTTGAATTCAACAAAGCAATAGCCACGAGGCTCCCCTTCTTTGACACCTGATTTATGGAAAAGTAGTTCAAGGTTCTGTATCTCTCCATAAGGTTGAAGAATCTTTAAAATATTATACCTAAAAGCAATGAGGATACAGTAAAACCCATGGGAAATTAGTTCAACAACTTCTTGATATTATCATTAATCAAATAAGAAATGAGTGTGTCATTGAAGTTGAAGTTGAAGATCAATACAGAAAATCCTTTCACCTCTACTGTTGATAGAGGTCGGAAATTTTTTTTTTAAGCGATTGGGAGGTAAATCTTTTGTTTAAGTTTTAACCTATTTTTTCTTTATTATTGCTATAAATTTCCTTTGCGTGTATGTGTTGTTAAAACAAAAAAGATGCACCCTAACTATTCCTGCCAGGTGAACTGAATCACATTAATTATCCGGTGCATAGGACTATTGCAATTATCCGTAACCCCCTGGTTGAGGACCTACCTTTTCTTCTTACCCCGGAAAGTCGAATAAAATTGGATTCAACTCTGAAGACTTCCTCAACCCGGAGGGTACGGGTATTAAAATGCAATATAGTCCATAGACTGACAGTAGGAAAGACCAATTATCTCCAGCTGCTATTCTTCATGATAACAGTACACTAGGGTAACTCTTTCGTATATTAGGAAGCACATGCTTTCTTCAGATTCAACGCAGCATTACAGCTAAATATCACCTATCATAAGAACAAAACTAAATTCTACTCACTCGCTTAAACGTTTGTCTAAATTTCCAATCCATAACTTTCTATTAGTAGTATCATCCTTTGCCTGAAAATAATGATCTTAAAATGAGCTGTGATGCACAAAAGAAAACTTAATACGAAAGCTTATTTAGAATGCACTAGTATTTATCATCCAAAAAGTAAGAAAAGATATATAAAATATTCATCGTAACGTTTTGTACCGGCTTTCCGTCAATGTCAGCTGCCATTTTGAATCTGTACACTTGTTTGATTTTACATGAGGTGGTAACCATTTTTCAGAAATGCCGCTGTAAGTAATTCCTCGATCCAGGACATCACGTTTGATTCTGGGCTTCAATATTCAAGATGGCGGACAGAGAAGAAAATCGAAGAAAGAGCGGTGATTCCAAGAGTTCACAAGCAGCTAAGGTAAATCTTTGAGGTTACGAGATAAATTATAATCCGCTCATTCCCTGAATAACTTTCTGTTGGGAATCGTGATACGTACTAATAAAAGAAATGCAATAATCTCCTTAATTTTATCTTCAATGGATTGAAAGTTGTTTGCTTTGTCAGTTAAAGTTTTATGATTAGTCACTGTCAGGGTGGCTAGAACTCTGAAAATTTGGAACAGTCAAAGCTTCCTTAAGCAGACACCCTCGGGAAGCAGATTCAGAGTCCATAACTGGTGCTGGCCGTTTATGAAAATGGGTTTTGCATGCGGAAAAATCGAAAGGAACTTTTACATAATAAATTCCAGTCTCAATGTCTCAGGTGTTAGTCTTGTAGCTTGCGACTGTATCACACAGTCTTCATCAGCAATAAATGCTCAATGTTGTCACGTGAATTAGTCTCGCGGCAACAAATAATTATGAACTTCCCGCAATTTTTAAACATTTGTTGTCATGTGACTAATTAACATGACAGCATTGAGCCTTTATTGCTGATGAACACTGTGTGATACAGTCGAAAGCTACAAGACTAAAATCTTAGACTTTCAGACTAAAATTTATTTTTTCAATTCTGTTTACCAAAGTCAAGAATGACATTCCGTGGAATTAAAACGGGTTTTGTCATTGCCAGCTCTAAATAGAGTTCTACACTTCCAAGAGTATACGGTGACTGGGCTTCAATTGTTAACTGATAATTTTGCAGAAGGCAAGAAAATCTAGGAAGTGTGGTATAAGTTCTGACAGTTCTGAAAGTTCACGGACCTCTAGCAGTTCCAGCAGTCCAGTAAGGTAAGTGACCTCACAAGGACAGCTAATAAGGATGAGATATTTCCAGGTGAAATCGCTGCAAAGCTTACAAAAAGATGGAAAAGTCCCTTTATCTTTTGAGACCAAAAGTAGAAGGAAATTCAAATATAACTAAAATTGGTTTGGTAAGAGCAAGTACTCAGTGACTCTCCCTTCCGTCTACAGTAGTCATGTTTACTAAACTTTACCTGGAATTATTTTCCCCTTGAATATTCCACCCCTACACAATGTATTAGCTGTCCATTGATCTCCAAGGATGTGGTGATCATGATAATACAGTCTGAAATTTTTTTCCTGGCAGCCATTCACCTCAAGCAGAAATAAAAGTTTATGCATGTGTAGGAGGAAGATAAGCATCACTGAAGTTCTGCAAAAAAGAAACTTGGACATAGACCAGAATAACTCTGTCCCAGTGTTTTCAAAATCAGCCGTCGGCCGTCGCATTCTACGGCAACTTTTTGATTTGCGACGCCTACTTTCCCTTAGGTAAATTATATGACAGATAAAACTTTTGATAAAAAGTGGTAAGTGTTCACAAAGCTGTTGCGAGCAAGCAAACTTGAAATTTTCCTGGAGAATTTCGCCAAAACATCTTGAGTCTGCTTTTAAAATACGTTCTCTGCGTAATACGTTGAGTAAACGTTGAGGACGAGTCGAAGACTGGGTATCAGTTACAGGGAACATTGTAGTTAGCGGTTTCTGAAGCGACTCTATATAAAACGCCACATATCGTCTCCAAGAACACGGCAAAATGGCAGAAAAGCGACAGCGTGGTTTACGGGAGATGTGGTCGCTGACAGTGACAAACAAGAAAAAGAAAAAGGATGCTGCAGGTAATAATGTGGTTAAAGCGTACCCTAATATTGTGGTTAATAAAGTTACTAAAAGCATCAAAATTTATCAGTATTTTCGATATCTAAAATTTGCTAGTTCTGCGTCTCAAAATGCGGGAAAATGCGCCTCCAAGAGTCTAGAAATTCAAAATTTCCTGGGGGGGCATGCCCCCAGACCCCCCTAGAGAGCAAGGCCCTC